AATTTATTAAATGGTTGCTATGTTTAGTACATCTAGTTTTATTATTTTGACGAAGCGACAATGAGGATAAAGTTATTTTCATTGACTTTGAATATTGCAGTTACAATTATAGGTAAGATTTGTGCAATTTATTAAATGGTTGCTATGTTTAGTACATCTAGTTTTATTATTTTGAATTGTTCTTATTATTCTCTTATTATGGACATTGTTTCACATTTGAAATGTTTATTTGGAACCAGCCTGAATTTTCTAGGATGTTATTGGATTTGCATCAGAAAATATTGTATTGTAGCAATCATAAATGACTAATGCATCTTATTTCATGTGCTTGTGTTAATTGTACAAAGACATTTTGATTTTTTCTTAAGGATCATACAAAATATGCTAAACATAGATGTTTTTTTCTAAAGCTATGGTCAGCTTGAAATGCTTGATATAGTGAAATAGAAATTTAATATAATAGGTCATTAAAATATTTAACATCTCTGTACCTCTGAAGTAACTTTTGATTATTCAATTTTATCCCAAATTTTGTTAAAAGCTATCATATCAATGAACATTAAATCTATGACAGTGCTTGAAGCTAACGGTTTGTGTGTTACATAACTGAGGTATGCTCTATTCTTTCTTTAATATTGCATTCATTGACGGTGTTGGTTGGAATGTTTAATGCATCTAGTTTTATTATTTGTTGATTTTTAATATTTTTTGTGTATTTTACAATGAGAAGTAAATTCTTAATCTAATTTATCTTTTAATCTTAGGGGTTTTGATATTGCCAATCATTTTCTGGAATGGTGTTATGATTACTCTTTGCCGGAATACCCACATTTCACAGCCAAGATGGAGAACTTTCCCTCACAAGAACAACAGGTTTGTTCAAGTGCACTTTTATATTGTATTTGAAAAAAGAAATTGGTCCAGTGGGAGAAAGGAGAAGTCCATTAGTAGTTAATGAGAGTTCAGAAGAAAACTGGCGGTTTATATATCAGTTTATGAACCAAAAAATATCTTATTTTCCCTCTGATGCTATTGGACAAAGAAAAAAAAATTGCTTCAAGCTGTGTACATCATTTTGAACAAACTCGTATTACTTTAGTTCATCCAGTACAAGATTACTTCAGACAGTTTTAAAGACTACTTGATTTAAATACTACATAGGAACATATGTTTGAATTATATTTTATATAGAAGCTTAAAAATGAAGATTAAATCAATCGTGTTGGGAGTGGCGGATTAGCATCGGGGATTTTCAAAAGTTAAATTGTGACATATTAGAAAATTAT